CTATTTTCCACAGGAGATAATGGAACAGTTTTGAAATTTCCAAAATTCTTCACATACAGTTTTTTTTTCCCAAAAATATAGCAAACATTGACTTGACAAATTAAAACCAAAACACTTAGATGTATAAGGTTATAAATAAGAAATCCTAAAAAAAAGTATTTTTGCCTACATAGAAAATAAACATGAGAATGACCTTCTTTTTGGGATTCAAGTTGAATTCGATTGTAATTATTAAACAGGGAAACTAGATGGTTTAATTTTTTTATTACTTAATTAATTTATTTTTGTTACAGATGCTTCTCTTTTTCCCCCCACCGATTCCCACCTCCCCCTCCCTCCCCGCCCTGTCCCCAGCTTTGTGGTCCACGTCCATTGTTCAGGCATATATGCATATAGGTTCTGTGGTTTATCTCTCCCCCACCACCTTCACGTCCACTCACACTCTCTCACACACTAGGTCACTCTCTCACACGCTCACCCTCCTTCCGGTCCTGCCTGCCGCCATCTCCTCATTGTGGTTTTAATTTGCATTTATCTGATAATTGGTGACATTGAGCATCTTTTCATATGTCTATTTACATCTGTATGTTCTCTTTGGAGTAGTGTCTATTCGGTCCTTTGCTCATTTTAATTGGATTTTTTCTGTTTTTTTGGGGGGGGTGGGGGTTTATAATTTCCTTTAAAGTTTTATATATTAAGCCCTTTTTAGCTGTATCGTTGGCAAATATGTTCTCTCATCGAATGGGTTTTCTTTTCATTTTGTTGATGGTTTTCTTGGTTGTGCAAAAGGTTTTTAGTTTGATGTAGTCCCACTTGTTTTTTGTTTGTTTGTTTGTTTCCCTTGCCTAAGAACTTATATTAAAAAATATATTGCTATAAGAAATGTCCAAGATTTTACTGCCTGTTTCTTCTAGATTTTTATGGTTTCAAATGTAACATTTAGGTCTTTAATCCATTTTGAGTTTATTCTTGTGTATGGTATAAGAAGGTGGTCTAGTGTCGTTTTTTTGCATAAATCTGTCCAATTTTCCCAACACCATTTGTTGAATAGACTATCTTTACTCCCTGTATGTTTTTTGTTTCCTTTGTCAAATATTAATTGACTGTAAAGTCATGGGTTTATTTCTGGGCTCTCTGTTGTGTTCCAATGATCTACCTGTCTGTTTTTATGCCAGCACCATGCTGTTTTGATTAACTGTGGCCTTATAGTATAGTTTGCTATCAGGTAGTGTGATTCCTTTAACTTTATTTCTTTTTCTCAAGATTGTGTTCCTATTCGGGGTCTTTTGTGGTTTTATATAAAGTTTTGGAATATTTGTACTACTTTTGTCTTTTTCCAGTTTTTCTCAGTATCTACAGAGTTTTGGTCAGTATCTTTATTTCTTGCCATTATTAACATGAAGCATGCCCTATCACACGGTAACTTTAGTTTAGTGATTTATGGTTACCAAAGAGTGTCACATAAATTGTCTCATTTGTTCTTCATAAAAATTCTGAAGCACAGATGTGAAAATTGAAGCTCATGAAAATTATCTAACTTTGCCAGGCTTATACAACTAAGAAAATCACAGATTTGGGACTTGAACCCAGTCTGATATTTCACTGTCATTGGGCATATTTGGGTCCAGGGATCACGTACAAAAGCATTGCCTTTCAAGTTTCTTCCATTTTTACTGTGTTTCACTTTCTTTTGAGTCTGATTATTCTTTTGTGAAGAGTACAAAAAACAGGAGAAAAGGGAAGGGCCAACATTTATTTAGCACTAATTATACTTTTACTTCTGCACTTTGCATTTTTCCTATTTAAATCATCAGCTATAAGGGAGAAGCCATAATTTCCATTTTATTAATGAGGAAACTTTGGCTCCATAATATGAAGATACTTGCCTAAGTTCTTATCTCTGATTGGTGATTAGAATCCAGATGTGTGTAACTTAGTTTTTCTCAAACTTTTTCTTTTATTATCACCCCCTTACGGAGTCTTTCTAGACTTTTTATTTCTAATCACCCTTCACATTAAATTTTAATATCCCAGCTATACTCTATATCTGTTTATGATCTTGTATAGATGTGCTCAATACCTAAAAAGAGTAAGCTACTATCACACACACACATCCCCCCTCAAAAAGAACCAATTTTCACTTTTTGGGTGCAATATCACCTGCCCATTAAGAATACATGCTGAAGTCTCTTGTCTTTCAAAAGATATGCTAGGAATACTGAAAAATCATTTACACATTTTAAGAATATTAAAAATATTAAATATTAACAAATTTGAATGAAACTGTTTTTGGTATTATATTTTAACTATTTTGGATTGATAGAATAATATTTTAAAAGATCCTTTTTAATTACACTATTAAAATCTATTAGTAATTTATCTACTCTTTCCATAGAATACGCTGAGTCTATTTCTTCAAACTTGATTTTTAGTAAACATGATAACACTTTAGTGCCATTTAAAATCTGGTTTAAAATCATCTAGTTTTGCAGAAAACTACAGGTCATTGAAAAAAGAAATAGAGGAAGATATAAAACAGTTGAAGCACATCTCTTTTTCATAAATTGGAAGAATCAACATCATTAAAATGTCCATACTACCCAAAGTAATCTATAGATTCAATGCAATCCTCATCAAAATACCAACAACATACTTCACAGAACTAGAACAAATACTTCAAAAGTTCATATGGAACCAAAAATAACCTCAAATAGCCACAGCAATCTTGAAAAAGGAAAACAAACTTGGAGGGACCACATTACCAGATTTCAGGTTATACTACAAAGCCACTGTAATTGAAACAACCTGGTACTGGCACAAGAACGGGCATATAGACTAGTGGAACAGAACAGAGAACCCAGAAATGGACCCAAGGCAATATGCTCAATTAATATTTGACAAAGGTGGCAAGAACATACAGTGGAGTAAAGACAGCCTCTTTGATAAATGGTGTTAGGATAATTGGAGAGCTACATGCAAAAAAATAAAACTAGGCTTTCAACTTGCACCATACACAAGAATAAATTCAAAATGGATAAAAGACTTAAATGTGTCTCATGAATCCATAAAAATGCTAGAAGAAAATGTAGGCAACAAAATTTCAGATGTCATACGCAGCAGAATTTTCACTGATACATCACCTAAGGCAACAGAAATAAAGGAGAAAATGAACACATGGAACTACATCCAACTAAAAAGCTTCTGCACAGCAATAGATGCAATCATCAAAATGGAAAGGCTACCCACTGTATGGGAGAGCATAATTGCCAGTGATATATCAGATAAGAGGTTAATTTCCAATATATAGAGAGTGGTCATACAACTCAACAAAAGGAAGGCAAAGAACCCAATTAAGAAATGGGCAGAGGAACTAAATAGACACCTCTCCAAACAGGACATACAAATGGCTAAGAGACATATGAAGAAATGCTCAACATCACTAATCATCAGAGAGATGCAAATTAAAACAACAATGAGGTATCACCTCACACCTGTCAGAATGGCCGCCATCAACAAATCATCAAACAACAAGTGTTGGTGAGGGCATTGAGGAAAGGGTACTCTAGTTACTGCTGGTGGGAATGCAGACTGGTACAGCCACTATGGAAAACAATATGGTGTTACCTCAAAAAAATAAAACTGAACTTCTATTTGACCCAGTGATCCCACTTCTAGGAATATACCTTGAGAAGCCTGAAACACCAATCCAAAAGAATATATGTATCCCCATGTTTGTAGCAGCACTATTTACAATAGCTAAGACCTGGAATCAGCCCAATATCCATCAGCAGATAAATGGATAAAAAAGCAATGGTACATATACACAATGGAGTACTATGCAGCAGTAAGAAAGAAAGATCTCTTATCCTTTGAGACGACATGGAGGGACCTGGAAAGTATTATCCTAAGTGAAGTAAGCCAAGCAGAAAAAGACAAATACCACATGATATCACTTATATACGTAATATAATGAACATAACAATCTGAGGAATACGGTTGACCCAGAAACATGGAAGTAGGGCCAGACTGACATCCCTCAGAAGAGGGGGTGGGGGGGTGGGAAGAGATAAACCACAGAACTTATATGCATATATGCATAACAAATGCACATGGACAACAAAGCTGGGGATGGGGCGGAGGTGGGGTGGGGAGCAGGATTGTCAATGGGGTAAAAAAGGAGAAACATCTGTAACAAAAAAATAAATTTAAAAATTTAAAAAAAATTAAAAATGGAACTGTCTTATGACCCAGGAAATCTACTTCTGAAAATTTATCAAAGGAAATATAAAACACTAATTCGAAAGAATATATGCACCCCCACATTCACTGCAGAATTATTTATAGTAGCCAAAATTTGGAAGCAGCCCAAGTGTCCATCAGTAGACAAGTGGATAAAAAAAAGCTGTGGCACATTTACACAATGGAATACTATTTGGCCATAAAAATAAAAAAAAGGAAATCTTACCCTTTGCAACAGCATAGATAGACCTGGTCAGTATTATGCTAAGTGAAATAAGCTAGTCAGAGAAAGACAAGTACCATATGGTTTCACTCACATGTGGAATCTCCTGAACAAAATGAACTAACAAGCAAAATAGAGACAGACTCATAGATATAAAGTAGGCTGACATCTGTCACGGGGTGAAGGCCAGGTGGGTGGTGGAAGTATTGAGGAAAAATGAGAAAACTGTGGCATTTGCCTGGGGGAGGCAGTGGTGCAGGGAGGTGGAGGAGGGTATAAGGGGGATAAATGCTGATGGAAGGAGTCTTGACTTGGGGTGGTGAAAATACAATACAGTGTACAGATGATGTGTTGTGGAATTATGCACCTGAAACCTGTATACTTTCGTTAACCAGTGTCATCCCAAAAATTCAATAAAAATGGGGAGTACAAAGGACAAAAACTGCCCCTCTCTACTGTCCAAGAACAGAATCAAACAGCAGAATTTCTGTGCCAGTTTAAATCTCGTTTAAAACAAAATTACCAGTCGAACTCTTACCGGTCTCTTTGCTCTTCACTTGTATATTGATCATCTACAAAGGAGTTTCCAAATATTCCAAGTAGAGTATTGTGGCCTTTCTTGTTAGGTGTATGATACACTCGAGAAGCTAGATGCAAGTCAGTGGGCAGCACCCGGGCTGGGACAGTGGTGCACAGGTCATGAACGGTAGGAGCGGAGTGGTCTTGTGGAATTCTGCTACAAAGAAAAGAAAGTGGGCTTCTTTTATCATTGCATACTTTTTTGATATAAAATACATTTACTTTGACAGTTTAGTTTGGGCCCTGAAAAGGATGCCTAAATGTAGGAGATGAGATTTAGAACTATAACATATTTAACATCACAATCTCAGGCCATTGACTAGATCTTCAAAGTCACATATCCAGCTGCCTGCTGACAATATCAACCTTTATGTCTTACAGATACCTCAGAATCAACAGACTTAAAAGCAAACTCATGCCCTGACCAATTTGGCTCAGCGGTTAGAGCATCGGCCTGCGGTCCTGAGAGACCCGGGTTTGGTTCCCGCTAAGGGCATGTACCTCGGTTGTAGTTTGTCGCCCTGGTTGGGTTGTGCGGGTGGCAACCACTCGATGTGTCCCTTTCACATCGCTGTTTCTCTCTCTCTCTCTTCCTCCCATTCTATCTGAACAAAAAATGGAAAAGTGTCCTCGGCTGAGGATAAAAAAATAAAATAAAATAAATAAAAATATAAAATAAAAGCAAACTCATTATCATTCCACCCATCCCAAACTTCTCTCTTGAATTCTGTAACACAGTTAGTGACATCATAGTCAACCATCATGAATTACTCCTTTGCAACTCGGCTCAAACGCTAATGTCCTTGAAGAAGTACAACAATATAGTACATTATCCATTAACTAGCATCAGTGGAACTGTGGGTCTAAGTTAGTGTGGTATCTTCCTTCCCACTATGCTAACACTTGCCTCTCCTGCCTTTCCAAAGTGGAGAAGAGGGCATGAAGAATGCTGTCTTAATCCCCAGCATCACTTGCCATCCAATAGACAGATACCTTTTGACCACCTACTATGTGCCAGACTTTGTACTAAGTGATTTACACACATTTTCTCAGCAATGAGCCTGTAAGGAAGGTGTTATTATCCTCATAATGAAGTAGGCTTGTTTTGGATAAGTCACAAAATTAGTGAGTGGCTGCCTGGCCGGTGTGGCTCAGTGGATTGAGTGTCAATCCATGGACTGAGAGTTCCCGGTTCAATTTCCAGTCAGGGCACATACCTGGGTTGCAGGCTCGATCCCCTGTGGTGGGTGTGCAGGAGGCATAGGGGGTGTGCAGGAGGCAGCTGATCTATGTATCTGTCTCACATTCATGTTTCTATTTCTCTCTCCCTTCCTCTCTCTCTAAAAAAATCAATTAAAAAACATATAAAAATATTTTTTAAAAATTAGTGAGTGGATACTAGGACCTAAACACAATGGATAGTAGCATACTATAAAGAACATAGCCTTTGGAGTTGGTGGGGCCTACATTGGAATCTCAGTTCTAACCCTTGCAAACTGTATCACTGACCTCACTAAAGATGTTCTGTAAAATGAGACTAAAACTCCCTAACTTTTGCCTTTATAAGAATTTCTTTTTCCTATTATTGCCTCTTAATGACTCCTGAGGTGGAAGTGGCCCTTATCCAGTACTATCCCACCCTCACCTCCCTCTTAGGTTATACTCTGACATTAACCAAAAGACGACCTTTTCATCAAGTCAAACAAATGTTAGACATCTAGAGCGTGTCCTCTCTGAAGCTGCAGCTGATGATGCTGATGATCTTTCCTAAAATTGCTCTTCCTCCGTGAGCTTTTCAAAGCCTGCTCTGTCTCAGCTCTACTCCACCTCTCAGATTCGTCACAATTTGACTTAGTACTGGCTTTCCTTCCTCCGGCTTATAAACTGGCTATGACTTCCGAGGTTGTACTCTGCTTTCCACATTGACAAAATCAGCTTCAGTGTCTCGCTATTTCCTTCATGCTGAGAGCTCCCAGTGCTAATCTCTAGTGTCTCACCCAGATTCCTCGTCTTTAAGATGCAAAATGCTGCAGCCATCTTTTACCTTCGCCTGCATAGCCAGTGACAAACTGGCTTCTCCCCTGCACAGGGTAGCTCAGGCGTGCTCCTTCCCCCTCCTCACTTCCAACACAGGCAAGGTCCTTATCACCATAACCAGAATCAGCAACAGTCTAATGCCAGTCGGATTGAGCACTGCACCTCTGTCTCTTCACCTAATACAGCCTGCAAAATTTGGTCACACTGATCTTTAAATCCTCCTTTACCCAGCATGATGGTTCTTTGTTACTTTGCTGCATTCATCTAACTTCCTGTCTCTAAGTATCGAGGCTTCCAGCACCTGGCCCCACTTCTAACCTAGCAGAGTGTAGTGCAGCGGTTCTCAACCTGTGGGTCGCGACCCCTTTGGGGGTCAAACGACCCTTTCACAGGGGTCGCCTAAGACATAACAGCAGCAAAATTACAGTTATGAAGTAGCAACAAAAACAATTTTATGGTTGGGGGGTCACCACAACAGGAGGAACTGTATTAAAGGGTCATGGCATTTGGAGGATTGAGAACCACAGGAGTGGAATCAAACTGCCTCTGTTCAAATCCTGTTTAAAATTATCACATGGTCGTAAGCAAGTCAATTAACTTCTTTATATCTCAGTAAGTTGGGAATAACAACATTAGCACACCCTGGATGAAATTAAGAAAGAAAGAAGTGAATGCATTTAAAACAGTGTCTCTCACGTGGTAGATGTTTGCTGTAATTAATCAGTCTCCAGGACAATGCACAGAACCAGCAAAACCTGTCAGTTCCTTCAGTTACGAGTAGAATGCTGCCTATCCTTTTGTCCATGTCTAAACATCCTTCAAACAGTATCTCCAAGACAAATTTCTCTGAAAATTTAATTATTTTCCTTTTTCACAAATATCTCTTTTCATACACTGCCCTATTCTCGTGCCACCCATTCTGGCCATTTAACTAATAGGTTAATGCAGGTTTGGCCACTAATTGTTCTACATGTCTGGAGAGTAGGATAATATAAAGAATATAGTCTTTGGAGTGGGCGGGGCATCAGAATCTCAGTTCTCGCCCTTGCAAACTGTATCACTGACCTCTCTGTGGATCTTCTGCGAGCTGAGAATAAAAATTCCTAACTTTTGCCTTTGTAAGAACTGATGACAGTGCCTGTTTTATTTGTATTGCTATAGATATTAACGTCCTCTGCACAGCACCTAACCCGTTGCTGGGCATTACTGAATCACTAATAGTGAGTAATTTGTGTCATTTCTAAAACAGCACAGGGACCAAAAAGAACAAAACATAAAATCTGTACATGTTCCAGTGGAGGAGGTAAATCGAAAGCATTTGGAAATGCCTCAGGCAAAGAGACATAACTGGAAGAGTAAAAATGGGTGTTCAGGAAGTAGGGATCCTAAGAAAGAACTGAAAAAAAAAAAAAGGGGGGGGGAGAAAAATTGAGCTCTGATATCAAGCTCATCTACATCATCATTCTATCTGGGACAGGTCCTGGCTAGTGGAATGTACTGGCGATTACATTACATATTTTTTTCCTTAAAAAAGCAACACAACCAATCTGAATTCCTATGTTTCCATCATACTCTAATTACACAGATCTGTAAGTGAATATCCCTTGGTTATCGAGCTGAATAACACAATATTTTCAAAAGAGGGCTCAATTCCCAAGAAAACAATTTAATTTGGGGGCTACTCACAGGTGCATAATGTTAGGTTAAAAAAAATATTTAAGAAAAGATTTTCAGAAACAAGTTTTCCAAAATTCTCTTTTATTATGTAATTTTTTAATGTCAGATTTTTATTCCTCTGTATCTCATACTTCTTTCTTTCTCTAATGGAAATTTCTAATTTCAGTTTTAATGAATTAACTCAGTACTATATATATATATATCAAAAACATCTACAAATATTTTTGGCATGCTCGAGAAAGGCTGTGTGTTTTTATAGCATACTCTCCTGAAACAGGACTATTTGTCATTCTTTGAAACACTAAGACATAAAAAAGAAAAGACTCTGACTCTGTGGGTGGCCATGCTACTTGGCTTAATGCACCAAAGGCAAGGTTTTTTTAGGGGAAAAAATCAAGAAGTTTCTGCTTCATTGATAATCTGACAGTAACTATTTATTGAAGGTAAAATACTTGTTGTCTGCTGTCACTATTTGTTTTAATACATAATCTTGCTAACTAAATGAGTTTAAAGCAATGCAGATAAGCAATGGCATGTACAGGGTCACTTAAATGCCAATTTGACTCTTTCATAAACTTTGGAATTCTTTTCCCATGAGTCCATTTCCAGCTACTAAACTGTGAGTAATATCCATTTACAAAGTTTAGGCTGGCCATAAAAAGGTTGTCTTCCATGTCCAGCACACCTTTCAGTGCCCTAAGCAACAACAAAAGCTAATAATTAAAGCTTCTTTAAGCCCCCATAAACAGTTAAATGAAGAAGAATCTAGAATAAACCAACCCATAAAAATCCAGTGGTGAAATAAGGAGAAAATCTGTTTCAACAAGGTGCATAGCAAAAGGTAAAACCATAAATCTAAATTGCCTTTATGCACTATTATTCAAAATTATGGTTACATCCTGGTATAATACAAAGTTCCATTTAAAATGCGGTGGGGGCGGAAATGAAACACGAAATGATAGTACAGATTTAAAAAGCCATCTAAATAACCAATTCTATTAGCCAATCGTAATTCTGTGTTGGGTTTTCTTTTCTTTTATTTTAGAAAAACAAAATTAACCAATATGTCAATCTAAATTAGGCATTATAGTGATTGACAGAAATTAAATCTAACATGTTAACATTTAATTTTCTTTAGTGTCAAAAAGAGCTATTTTTATTCTAGCTATTGCTGTGTCATTAAAGCAAGTACCTTGATCAAAACTAGAAACAGACGTGTGGAGTACAGCACACATGTCCTAACTGTCCTATCTGCCACCAACTAACTCTTCTGAGAAGGTGGAACTTAAACCTCACACATAAATTTCTAAAGCATTCAATTTGCTTTAAAAATCCATTTTCAGGTATCAGTGCACTAAATAACTTCTCTTCAGACAGTACTATATATAAATGTAAGTTACTTTGTTTTAAGTGGTTTTTGATCCTGCGGGGGTTTTATACACTTTCTTTGTCGTGGAATTACGGGTTTTGTTTTTCGTGCTCGCTTAATTTCTTTTCCTCTGATTTGCAACAATTCTGATGATTTTACCTTTAAAAAAATATAAAAATGGCTGTTAAGAAAAGTTGTAACATGAAATTAGATCTTTCTCTTTCATTTAATAGTCCATCTCATATTTAATTTCTATGTACATTTTATAACACTATATAAATCCTAAAGGCGAGCTGATATATTCCTCTAAATCTCTTCCTAAATTTTTACATATATACCTTCACAGCAATAAAAAATATTAGTACCATATTTATTTGTAATATTTTTTATTGCATTGAAACTAGTAAAGAAGAAATATGAGATTTTTTCCTCCATAGATCTACTCTTCTTCATTGGTATTTTTAATAGGACTTCCTTAGTCTCTCTCTTTCTTTTTAACCCTTAATTTCTTAAAGTTTGACATGACTGGATGTTGCAAGTACAAGACCGAATGAACTTTAATGCTCTATATACCTATTCTGAGCAACACTTATCAATTCGTACTTCCTTACAGTGTACTCTTTTCTATTCCACTGCTTGGGAAAAAATTAAAGCATATCTGTCTCTTCAATAATTGCCTTTTAATCATTATAGGTATTATGAGTATTGTTTTCTTAGATTTCCTAGAAAATTCACAGAATTTGTGGTAATAGTTCATCAAAAAATATTTTTCTCCATGGGTTATTCTGTCTTTTGTTAAGACTAGATTTAAGAAAGCAAGCAAGGTGGCTTTCCTTGGAGAAAGCAGAGTTATGACTGAATAAGGAGGAGGAGGCCAGGAAAAGGGAGGTTTTTATAAATAGGTAGCCGGTTTGGGCTCAGTGCACTAGTAAGGAGAGAGCTATTGCAATTTCTTGAGTAAAAAAGATGACAAATAAGGAGAGCTCAAGAGTACAGATCATTCCATCTCACCATCCAGTTAATGTTTAAATTTACTCTACAGTTTCTCCACCAAACGGTTATTCATTCTGGCTTGAACATGATCAGAAACAGAGGATTTGGAACTCTTTGAAACTGGTTGTTAGAAATTTGTGTTTATTATAGAACCTAACAACTTTATCCACTAGTCTCAATTCAAACCTCACAATCTAGCTCTCTTCCATTTGACAGTCAAATGTTTGAATACAGTTGACTCCCCTGGACCTGCACCTACCCCCACTCCCAAGCTAAACATCCCCAGGCCCTGCAGCTCTACCTGACATGACATGGTTTTGAAGTGCTGTGCTTACCATCTTGAATGTTCTCTTCCAGTTTCCAATTTGTCAGTGTTTCTCCTGGGACTGGATATCCATATCTGAACACAGTATTTAAGGTGTGATGTGATCCTGTTTTATGTTATTTATCACTTAATGCAAACTATGATTGCACTTGTTTTCCATTCACTAAATTATGGCCTAAAACCCTTAAGTCTTTTTCACATGTGCTCTAAGTTATATAATCTCGTATCTGTGCATTCCGTTTTTGGACCCAAAGGCCGAACCATTATGTACATTTATCCCAATTTCACCGAATATCTGACTAACCAAATCTTACCAGTCACATTTTGAATGTTATCTGCAAATCCCGTCAGTAAATCTTCCATATTTTCATCAAAATTTTTAGGAAATACAATGAATTGGACACAGCCATAGAGCAGTTCTTAGGGACTTTCATGTCGAACTGTGCATCCTTTGCGTAACTAATTATAAATCCATCTAGCAGTTCACCTGACTGCAAAATTGTCTACAAAACTGTCACTGGAAGACTTTCATAAGTGGATGGCTGAAATCCAAAGAATGATAACAACTAATGTGTATTCAGTTTTCTTGCATACCAGGCTCTTCACCATAATACTCTTGTCTTGAACTTCAAGTCTAACACTTTTCTGATGTTCAATCTAGTGATTCTAGGAAAAGAAATAAGTTTTATTCCATGGCTTGTCCCTTAGGGAAGCTATGCTTGTTCCAAATTATTACTGCTTCCTCTTATATGGGTTCAAACACAATTCTTTTTTGCTCTCAGATATACAACGTTATTTGTCATTGGCTTGATATCACATGTGTTCAATCTCTTGCAAGCCTGCAGGCTCTGACTGTATATACCTGCTTGTTTCTAATCTTTTTTTTTTTTTTTTAAATCATCACCCAAGGATATTTTTATTTTAGAGAGAAAGGAAGAAAGAGAGAGAGAAACTCGATATGAGAGAAAAACATCGATTGGTTGCCTCTGGTACACGCCCTGACTAGAGATCGAACCTGCAACCCAGGTAATGTGCCTTGACTGGGAATCGAACCCACAATCTTTTGGTGCACAGGATGACACTCAACCAACTGAGCCACCTGGCTGGGCTTGTTCCAATTTTTAATGCTTCATTAAATCATTCTCGAATTTTGTCTAAGATAAATCACACATCACAAAACCCTGATCCTTAAAAAAGTAAAACTCCAATTTGCCATTGTCAGTCTCCAGGTACCTAGTACCTCCCCCTCCCACTGCCGCAGCTCCTCAAGCTGCTGCTGACAGGGGCCCAACAGGCTTAAACCGATCTATCTAAGCCCACGGGCTCAGATATCTAAGTTAACTCAAAGTCTTTACCAACCTTGGGCTTCAAGTTTCTTTTATCAATTATTTTTCTCTTCTTTCTAAACTAAAGAGCATTCTCTTTGTCAGATTTAAGAGAAGCAAAGTGCAAGTTTATCAGCTTCCTTTTCTCTGTCATATTTCTGTTTATTTAAAACCTCACCCTTTTTCCAAAAATAAATTAAGGCAGCTCTGTCATATGTTGTCATCACACTATTCATCCAAAATGACAGGGTTATCCTTCCTTTTTTCTCTCTGTGCTCCAAAACTAACATGAAAAAAATACTTTTTTTTATTTTTAGCATTATTCACAGGCCTCAACCCATTCTGGATCTTAGCCTTCTTCATATAATTGTTATAGCCACATGCCACTTTTATGTTTATTTATGGACATGTATTCCTTCTTTCATCTTCTGTACATTTTTAAAGCTGAATGCAATAAAGCATTCATAATTGTTTTATGAGAATTTTGGAGGTCTTAGGATATCCCACATCTCTCTCTCTTTTTTTAAGAACAAAACATTTTTTAGTGATTTATTTATTTTTTTTAGAGTGCGAAATATCAACCTGTTGTTCCACCTATTTATGCATTCTTTGGTTGCTTCTTGTATGTACCCTGACCTGAGATCAAACCCGCAAACTTGGTGTATCAGGACAACGCTCTATCCAACTGAGGCACCCAACAAGGGTCACATCCCACATCTCTTAAGCTTCCTTCCATTTAGAATCTCAAGATATATACTATCTAAATCTGTTTTACAGACTTTTGACCCCTTTTCCTCCCAAAATGCTCAACAATCCTCTCACGGGCTAACGTGTCAGTTGTTTCTTCACAAAGTCTCCAATATCTAATTTCTCTTTTTGTTAATCATTCCTTAGACCAGAATCTTAATAACCTTTATTATACTAATGAGCTTGGAAGAGCAGCAATGGTCAACAAAGTACAAATTGATCAAATTCTTTACCCTTTAGATGAAAGAGACCTTATAGCACATATGCAAGGAGTCAAAGTCCTACGCTGCTCCCTCATCACACCTCTGTGCTCGTTCTGTTAGCTATGAGCTGTGTCAAAGAAGCTCTTTTTTTTTTTTTACAAAAAAGTAGTCTTTGTCTCGCCAATGTGGACTGGCTTGATGAAGTATATTGCTCCTCATTTCCGTGACAGAGATGCTTATGGCCTCAAATGTCCAAACAGAGTAAAATTCATGGGTGATAACTGATCTTCAGATGTTAACATAAATACATACAAGATACTTGGGGAAGACTTGATGAGATGAGTCACAGGAACACTTCCAATGCTATTTTCTACGGCATTTCTGCTGTGCCCAACAATATCCCACAATAAAGTCTTATCGATAAAGTTTAGAAGACATTATCTTCTCCCCTTGTGATACTTCTGTTCTCAGTTTAGAGCTCTCTTAATCCATTCTCCAAGTCTCTCTGGTCAAATCATTCCTACTTGTTTCATGAGGGACACTCCATCCCTAGTCATTTTTGCTGCTGAGAGTGTGTGTACTTGTATTTAACCAGAAACCTATTCATTGTTGCTACGAAAGGACAGCATTGATCAGTGGTAGAGAGTGAACGTTCCGGAATCAAACCACCTCAGTTCAAGTCCTGCCTCTACAACTTAACTAGATGTTTGTACTTGGGCAACTTATTTATCTTCTTTATGACTCAATTTTTTTTCAACTATAAAATGAGTGTAATACAGTTGGCCCTCGTTTATCGCAGTTAATCAGTTCCAGACTCTACCATGATAAATGAATTTCTACGAAGTAGGATCCTTTATTTATTTACAGTCATCCAACTCCACTTCACGCTTTGACGTGCGCAGCTTCACTCTATTGCGGTTTTTCCGACTGTAATAGGGTTGTTATTAGAAAAAGTAAGATAATACATGTATAAAACCCTTAATAAAGTGGTTCCCACATAGTCAACATTCAATAAATTCTAGTTATCTTAGGAAAGAACTGCCTCTTTTTATCAAAAATAAATAATTTTGGCCCAGTCGGGGTGGCTAAGTGGATTGCGTGTTGTCCCATGGACTGAGAGGTCCCAGTTTGATTCCCAGTCAGGGCACATGCCTGGGTTGCAGGCTTGATCTCCAGGAGGCAGCTGATTGATGTTTCTCTCTCTCAGATAGAAGTTTCTATCTGTCTCTCACTTCCTCTCTCTCTAAAAATTCAATAAAAACATTTTTAAAATAAATTTGAATAATTTCTTAATAATATTTAATAACAACCAGTGCAAGTCAAAAGAATTAACATTTTTTGGAATTTTCTAATGAGGGATTTAAATTCCTAACAGGCCATGGTAGTTAAAACACTGTCCAGAAAATCAATTTCAGTCTTTGACATATTTAGTAGCTAATCATTTGCCGCTCATGCCCACATTTTATTTCCAAAGTCCCAATGTTCAAGTAGAAGAATAGATAACACTACCTGTGTCCACCAGTCTAACACCTTTTCAAGATGTCTTACTCTTTAAAAATGCTTTCTAAGGTCTCCACACCTAGAAGGTGTCAGCCTAACACACAGGATTCACCTGGAGGAGTTAGCAATAAGTAGGTTTAGTTAGCTTTGCCAGGCTTCACTTCACACCCCAAGCACATGTTTAGAAAGACGGCATGACTTCTGATGGAGTCTGTCACCAATCACAGGATAAGTCCCTTCTCCCTGACAACAGTGACAGATTTTCTCTGGCCAACTATTACTTGTGTATCTTCCTTATTTTTCATTATTCCCAGAGGACTAATATGCTAGTGTCATATAGGATATAACTAAGTAGGGCTTGAGAAATGAAGAAAAACCAGGAGGCAACGGCACTAAATCCACACACAAGGTCACCAGGACCCAGACTAGGATGGGAGCGACTGGCAAAGAGAAGAAAAAAATTATAAGCAATAATGTTTAGGAGGAATGTAGGCCTTGGAGACCGACTATGTGTGAAAGGCAAAGGAAGGGGAAGGTCACAGATAAAGTCAAGGTTTCAAAGAGAGTTTTGGGCAAAAGTTGAAGAACGGGTAATGGCCAGTTGATTTGGATGAAAGATAGTAGAAATATGGTCACTGTGGGGGGAAGGGGATTCAAAAAAAGAGACATTAACCAGGAAGTTCATTTACCCAAGTGGTATCCATTTGAATCAGAGATAGGATCCCTGGTGATAATCAAGATAATGTGCTATGGTTCAGTAAAAAGTGGCTTTTAAAAAAATTCCTAGTAATAATAATGTATCTAGTTCAAAATAAAGTCATTTAAGTCAAAAAGTGGCTCAAATTAAAACAGTACTAAGTAAATAGTAGTAAGGTCATATGCAAATATGGTAAAAATTATTTGAGTTAAACATAAATAAAATGAATCTGGGAAACATTTTCACAATAGGAAAACACTTAGGGGTTAGGATTAACCTAAGAGGGGCAAAGTTATAAATGCTTCAAAGTACACCACTTCTGGTCCCAGGGCTACATTCCTATTCCTTCAAGATGGTAAGAAGACTCTGTCTGAAAGCCCTAAGGTTCCTTCCCTCCTTAAAAATCTTTTTCTCCCCAGAGTTGCAATTAGGTTTGAGACTAAAAGCTTTAAAAAAGAAAACCAAATAACAGATGTTCCATGTTCCCTAATGGACAATTTGCACACTTGAGACCTTTTTTGCAGGGGGAATATCCCCACATTTGTTGGCCCTTGCCTGGGTCATTTCTTCATATCTGCATATCGTCAACTCTCATAATTCTGTTTTCAACATAAATAGTGTTTTACCTTTAAAGACACCCGTTTGGCTGCTTTTGAATCACCTGTGGCCTGTTCATCTTTCAAAGGTTTACTTGAGTCATCTGCTGGCTGAATTTCTGAAGTTTCCTGAGGTTTAAATGAAACACTCTCTGTGTCTGAGGCTCCCAATTCTAATACATCCTCTTGTTCAATTGGGAAAACATTTGATATAGCTTCAGAAACGTCCTCTAACTCGTTCTGTTGGAAAACATAAATGTATAAGAATTTTTTTTTTGGTTGATCCTTCCAAAGTTTTAAGTCATACAATGTTTTCTCTCTGACAACAAAATAATTATGAAAAAGCATGACTGAAATTTAAAAGAGGTAGAAAGTTTCCTTAAAAAATTTACAAAGAAGCTCAAATTGACTTAAATATGAGGTATGGCAAATTATTTTCCTCAGCCTTTGTCTCAGAAAATATAGCTACTCCACAGTTATTATGCATCAACTCTAAGGAAATAACAAGGTTCTAATCTGACCCTAACTCTACCCCACACTAACATAGAATCAAGGCCCACTGAAACATCTAACCTCTGCCCAACCTGAGGTTCTTCAGCCCTAAAAACCGGGGTTTCTGTTAACTTGATGCTCTTACAAAATCCTGACATTAGGTACTCAGAGAAGAGCTGACCCAGAGACCTCCAGAAGATCACCCAGACACACCACCCTCATCCCATGCCTGAATGAAAAGTACTCACAAAAATATCATTTCTACACCTGTTTTCAGTTCCTTAAAAATGTCTCACCACACTAATGCAACACAGTTCTGCAGAATACACTTACTTCTCAAGTGCACAGGGGACATTCTCAAAGATAGACCACATGCTAGGACACAAACTAAGTCTCTACAAGTTCAAGAAAATTAAAATCATATCAAGCATCTTCTCAGATCACAAAGGCATGAAACTAGAAATCATTTACAAAAAAAGCAAGCAAAAATATTCAAACACATGGAGACTAAATAGCATGTTATTAAACAACGAATGGGTTATCAAGGAGATTAAGGAAGAAATTAAAAACTTCCTGAAAACTAATGAAAATGAACACAAAACAACACAAAATATATGGAACACAACAAAAGCAGTCTTGGGGGAAGTTTATAGCACTACAGACCTACCACAAGAAACAAGAAAAATTTCTAATTGACTAACCTCAAAACTTAAAGAACTAGAAAGTAAACAAGAAGAAAAACCCAGAGCAAGTAGAAGGAAAGAAATAGTTAAGGTTAGAGAAAAATAAACAACATAGAAACTAAAAAAATAAAATAAAAAATTCAAAAGATCAATGAAACAAAGAGATGGTTCTTTGAAAAGATAAACAAGATTGATGGACCCTTAGCTAGACTCACCAGAAAACAAAGAGAGAGGACCCAAATAAATAAAGTCAGAAACGAAAGTGAAAGAGTAACAACTGACATCACAGAAATACAAAGAATCGTTAAAAAATAGTATGAACAATTATACACCAATGAATTGGACAATCTAGGAAAAATGGACAAATTTCTAGAAACATACAGAATCCCAAAAGTGAACCAAGAAGAGATAGAAAACTTGTACAGATCAATAACAATTAAGGAAATTAAAGATGTAATCAAGAAACTCTCAGCAAACAAAAGCCCAGGATCAGAAGGGAGTTTTACCAAACATTAAAAGAAGATCTAACACCTATTCTTCTCACTATTCCAAAAAATCCAAGAAGAAGGAACTTCCAAACTCGTTTTATGATGACAACATAATTCTAATTCAAAACCAGACAAAAATACTACAAAGAAAGAAAGCTACAGTTTAGTATCTCTGATGAACATAGATGCCAAAATCCTGAACAAAATATTAGCATATCAGATCTAGCAATACATTGAAAAAAAATATTCACCATGACCAACTGGGATTCATCCTAGGAATGGAAGGCTGTTACAATATTCACAAATCAATAAATGTGATACACCACATAAACAAAATGAAAGATAAAAATCATATGATCAAATCAATAGATGCTGAAAAAGTATTTGACAAAATCCAGCACTGATTCCTGATAAAAACTCTCAGCAATGTGAAAATGGAGGGATCATAGTCTCAACATAATAAAGGCCATATATGAAAAACCTACAGCCAACATTATATTCAATGGGCAAAAACTAAAAGCATTTCCTTTAAAAACAGGAACAAGACAGGGATGCCTGCTTTTGCCACTCTTATTTAACATAGTACTGGAAGTCTTAGCCACAGCAATCAGACAAAAAGGATCCAAACTGGAAAGAAGGAAGTAAAACTGTTATTATTTGCAGATGACATAATATTGTACATAGAAAACCCTAAAGGAACACAAAAGTGGCTGGGGAGTGAATGGAAGCTACACAGACCACATCCCAGGACCAAACTGGAATTACAATGAAAATAAAGACAAATCGTCAGGAAAAGGCAACAGAAAAGCAGCTTGGAGACCACATAACAAGGGACACTGACTCAATCCTGGTAGGCTTGTGGAGACACGAGAGGGGGCTGGGAGCCCATGGTCAGCACTGGCCTTAGCTGTGAGCCGCAGCCTTAGCTGGGAGCCACAGCCTTAGCTGGGAGCAGCGCCCTCGGGTTAAACTTCCAAGTGGCTCCACAGTGAAGAGCCAGGCCAGAGGCTGAAATAGCAGCAGCCGCTTACCTTGGCTCCAGCATAGAAAGGACAGACTGGACTGGAACTGTGAGGGGACACTAGGGGTTTGGAGGGTGCTCAGAGCTTTTGCTGAGTTGCAGTCACACAGGACAGTGGCCATTTTACTCCTTCCCAGGGCTCTGGGTAGAGGTGGCAGCCCCTCCCTCAGAGATTCAACCCCACCCAGTGGCCATTGAAATGCTAATTGAGGCCATTTAACAACCAGCATCTGCCTGACCCTCCAGAAATCCTCTTACCCTGAGCACCTGAGGGAGTTCTTCATTCAACTGACAAGTCAAGGTTCTTTAGACAACTGCTACTGATATCCTCCAGGCAAAAAGCTAGATGATTAGTGTACCATTCCCAGGGCTAGCAACTTTAATCAGGAAAGTAAGACTGACAGTGGTGTGTAACGTGGATCCTCCCTGGCTGATCCAAACCCAGAAGAGGAGCCACAAACAGCAGAATACCAACACCCACAGGAAAAATTTGGCAGGCTACAAAACCCACTGTGATAGCCAAAATGGTGAAACACAGAAACAAAAGACAATGAAAGAACAAGAGACCTCTACTGAAGAGGAGATAAGTGAGGTACAAATAAGCAAGTTAACAGAACTAGAATTCAGAGTCATGATCTTGAGGAAGCTCAACAGCATGTATAAGTATATGAGCACCATAAGTAAAGACATAGAAATGTTGAAAATTAACCAGTTGGAAATTAAAAACCACCAAGAAGAAATGAAGAATGACATATCAGAAATAAAGAACATATTGGAAGGTCTAAATAGCAGAGTAGAGGAAGCTGAGGACCAGATCAGTGAATTAGAAGATAAGGTAAAAAAAATCAAACAATCAGAAAAACAAAAAGAAAAAACAGGAAGACAGCTTAAGAGAACTGTGGGACAACTGGAAACATAATAACATTCGCATCAAAGGAGTCCCTGAAGAAAAAGAAAATGAGCAAGGGTTAGAGAATATATTTGAAGAAATAGTGACAAAAAACTTCCCTAATTTGGTGAAGGAAGAAGGCATTCAAGTTCAAGAAGCACAGAGGGCCCCAAGTAAGGAGAACCCAGACAGGCCCACACCAAGACACATAGTAATCAAAATGCCAAAAATTAAAGGCAAAGACAGAATTCTAAAAGTGGCAAGAGAGAAGCAACAGGGTACCTACAAAGAAAACCCCATAAGGCTCTCAGCTGACTTCTCAACAGAAACACTACAGGCCAGAAGGGAATGGCATGAGGTAATCAAGGTCATGAAAAACAAGGACTGCAAGAAATGTTAAAAGGACTGCTGTACTTAGCAGGAGAAATAGGATAAAAAATATAACCATACTAAACAAAAATGGCAATAAATAAATAAATATCAATAATCACTTTAAATGTAAATGGATTGAATGCTCCGATAAAAAGATGCAGAGTAGCTGATTGGATAAGAAAGCATGACTCATCTATAAGTTGTTTACAAGAGACCCATCTCACAATAAAAGACTCACATAGGTTGAAAGTAAAGGGATGGAAAAAAATCTTCCAAGCAAATGAAAAGGAAAACAAAGCTGGGGTAGCAATACTCATATCTGATAAAACAGATTTCAAAATGAAGGCCATAACTAGAGACAAAGAAGGCCACTACATAATATTGAAAGAATCTATCCAATAGGAAGATATAACCTTGATAAACATATATGCATCCAACATAGGAACACCAAAATATATTAAAAATCTTCTGAAAGACTTCAAAGGAGAAATCGATAGCAATACAATCATAGCAGGGGACATCAACACCCCACTGACATCCCTGGATAGACCCTCTAGACAAAAAATTAGCAAGGAAACAGAGACTCTAAATGAAGCACTAGACCAAATGGATTTAATAAATATCTACAGAGAATTACATGCCAAAACCTCAGAATTCACATTCTTCTCAAGTGCACATGGGACATTCTCAAAGATAGACCCCATGTTAGGACACAAACTAAGTCTCTACAAGTTCAAGAAGATTGAAATCATATCAAGCAACTTCTCAGATCACAATGGCATGAAACTAGAAATCAATTGCAACAAGAAAATGCAAAGACATTTGAACACATGGAGGCAAAATAGCATGTTATTAAACAATGAATGGGTTACCGAGGAGATCAAGGAAGAAATTAAAAACTTCCTGGAGTCCAATGAAAATAAACACACAACAACAAAAACTTATGGAATACAGCAAACGTAGTTCTGAGAGGGAAGTTCATAGCACTACAGGCCTACCTCAAGAAGCAAGAAAAATCTCTAATAGACTACCTAACCACACAACTTCAAAAACTGGAAAGCAAACAAAAAGAAAACCCCAGAGCAAGACAAGGAAAAAAATAGTAAAGATCAGAGCAGAAGTAAATGACATAAAGACCAAAAACAATTCAAAGGATCAATGAAACAAAGAGCTGGTTTTTCGAAAGATAAACAAGATTGATTGACCCTTAGCTAGACTCACCAAGAAACAAAGAGAGAGAACACAAATACAGAAAATCAGAAATGAAAGATGCCAAGTAATAACTGATACCACAG